TCAGCTTCTATATTGCATTTAGTAGAACTGGTAAAAACTTGAACAGTTTCAAAATTACAACTTAAACATGCCACATGTAATGGAGTTAAGCCAATCCTCCATTTAGCATTAACATCACAGTGTTTGTCAATCACAAGATGACGTACAATGTCTACATTTCCTGACTGACATGCTAAATGGAGTGGTCTAGTTTGACGATCATTTTCAGCTTCTATATTGCATTTAGTAGAACTGGTAAAAAATTGAACAGTTTCAAAATTACAACTTAAACATGCCATGTGTAATGGAGTTAAGCCATTCCTCCCTTTAGCATTAACATCACAGTGTTTATTAATCACAAGATGACGTATAATGTCTATATTTCCTGATTCACATGCTAAATGGAGTGGTCTATCTTGATCATTATTTTCAACTTCTATATTGCATTCAGTAAAACTGGTAAGAAATTGAACAGTTTCAAAATTACAACTTAAACATGCCATGTGTAATGGAGTTAAGCCATTCCTCCCTTTAGCATTAACATCACAGTGTTTATTAATCACAAGATGACGTACAATGTTTATATTTCGTAATTTACATGCCAAATGGAGTGGTCTATCTTGATCATTATTTTTAGCTTCTATATTGCATTCAGTAGAACTGGTAAGTACTTCAACTGTTTCAAAATCACATTTCAAGCATGCCATGTGTAATGGTGTATAGCCATTCCTCCCTTTAGCATTAACATCACAGTGTTTGCCAATCACAAGATGATGTACAATGTCTACATTTCCAAATTCACATGCTTTGTGTAGTGGTCTGTCATTATAAGCAGTTCCAGCATCAATATTACACTGTGGTTGATTAGTCAGAATTTTAACAATTTCAATGTGACCCTTTTCACATGCATAATGTAATGGTGTATAGCCGCTCCATCTGTCTTTAGCATTAACATCACAGTGTTTGTCAATCACTAGATGACGCATAATGTTTACATTTCCAGATTGACATGCATAAACTAATGATCTCCTATCTTCTGAACAATTTTTTAATAGTTCCATTATATCTGGTTCTGCTAGTTGCTTTGCTGATTCCATACATTTAGATAAACCATCCTCACTCACTTTCTTTCCTAATATTGAAACTATTTCCTTGTGTCCTTGACATGCTGCATAATGCAGTGGTTGGTTTCCTTTATTGTCTTTAGCTTCAATGTCACACTGTGGTTTAGATATCAAATATTCTACTATTGACAGTGATCCATTATAACATGCTTTATGTAATAGAGTGGACACAGTTCCATCTTCTCTGACAATAATATCACAACCTACAGATTCAATGAGATGCTTCACTATTTCTAAATGTTCTTTGTCTGTTGCTGCTAGTAGAGGGTGTCTCTCATTATTACTGTTAATGTTACAGTTTGGTTGTCCTGTTAAATACTCTACTACTGGTAAGTGATTACAAATACATGCCATATACAGTGGAGTATTGCCATACTTATCCTCTACATTAATATCGTGGTTGCATGATTCAACAAGATACTTGACAATATGCGCTTGCCCAAATTCGGCTGCAAAATGAATACTTGTTCTGCCCCAGGAATCTTTTGTATAATTAATTTGAGGAAGAGATGTCAAATACTCTACAATTGATAAGTGACCCCAACGACAAGAATAATGCAATGCAGTTGAACCATTACAGTTACTAATATTAACATCCACACCTCTTTCCACCAGACACTGTACTAATGACAGGTCACCTAATTCACTAGCAGCATCAAGTAACAGAGCTATATTTTTATCTGCAGTAAATGTTTCACAAAGGTAGTTGGGTTGGCTAAT